ACACCCTGGTGATGGCAGGCTATAGGCAGGGTCCTCCAGGCCCAAGCCAAGTCTTACCCACTTCGGAAGTCCCTCTGACTCTCACACTAAGCTCCATTGCACTTACCATCTGCATCTCACAGTTTAGTGCCTAATTATGCATTGTCTCAGAACAATTGGGGAAGAAGTCACATAACAAAGTACAGAACTGAATTCAGTCAGGTTCCTTCCAGCCATGAAATATGACAGTTCCACTGCCATGCTCCACAGGACTTACTAGACACACACATGGCTGATCTCACCCTTGGCTCCTGACTCTCAGACCTTTGACTTCACCTCTCTTGTCTGCTATGCTGGAGACCCCTCTCCATTTTCCAGCCTAGAAGCTACTACGCCAGGGAGAGCAGTATCTAGCCACAGGCAGCTTGGTGGTAGCAGCTGGACCAGCCTGGCTTTAGGCCTCGGGTTGTTTTTCTTGGGTCACCTCTCATTTCCTCCTCTGGCCAAGGTTGGTGTGGAAGCCGGGAGGCACCAATGAGGTCAAGGCTGCACCTGGAGCTCAAGGGTCCAGAGGGTCCCAAGATGCATGCATACGTGCCAGCCCACATCTCCATGGTGAGAAGCTCTTTAGGATTTGGGGTGTCTGGGAAAGCTCAAAAGCATATACGTGCACTTTCCAAAAAGTCCATGTGTGCAATGGTAGAAACTGCCTCCAGGGCAGGCTTATCTTATAAAAGTCAGAATTAAATGGAAGTCAGGTGAGCTGGGCTATCAGAGAGACCAAAGGAGGAGATGGTAGAGGAGGAGTGGGGGAGGGGGGCGGGACTGGCAGGCAGACATGTAGAGCAGAGTATAGCCACATGACTAAGTGAAGTCCTTGTGCCATAGCTCTAGGCTAGGCTGTCAGCCATGGGTGATGGACAGCTCCTGGAGTGGGGGAGGGGGTTTTCTCCTGCCTTAGCTGCCACAGCACCATATGACTTGGGGGTATTTTCATCTGAGATGGCATGAGGAAGTGGATGCATTGTTGCCCACCCTGTAGACAAAGTGGGCAACCACCAAGGAGACAGCTACCTCCCCAGAGAAGCCGCTAAGCAGACAGACAGACAGATCGGACCAGAGGAGCCAAGGCATCCTGGCCAAAAAAGGCAAGGACTCTGCCTTACCTCCCAGAATTGCCTTATCTGCTGCCAGGCATAGGGATATTGGGGAGAGTTTCTCAGTCAGTTACCACAGGTATATATAGCCCACCTTCACTGACTCTTCTCTGCTTTTTACACACCCCTCCCCAACTTTCAGTCTCCCCTTTTCTATCCAGGATCCCAGAACCCTCAAATCACTCGTCCATCTGCTCTTCTCAAGAGAGAATCTTGGATAGTTCCAACCTTTTTAAAGACAGCATCAGGAGATGACAAGGGTGACTCCAGAAGCCAGATCTGGAAACAGAGAAACTGGAGTTTGCTTTCTTACCATTAGCCTCTATTTCCCACTCAGCTCAGCCTCTCATGCTATCCCCATGTATTGAGTATCTGCTACAGCAGGTGCCACTGTGTGCTGAGACAGTAAGAGGGCTCACAACCACTGCCTAGCTGAGGAGACAGAAATGTGAACTCATACTCTGAACACAGGAACTGTCCTCAAAGACTCTCCTAAACACTCACTTAACATTTGTTGGTTAACAATTACTCCATTCTTTTGCTCATTAAAGCTGTTCCACTAAGGATGCTTACTGGGAAAAACTTCATAGACTTGACTGGAATTCCATGAAGCTGTACACCAATGTATATTGTATAACACAGTTTCCAGCTCAGCCCGAGTTCTGGTATGTGTCTACCAGATCTGACCATAGCCTCGATGCGTATTATCAGCCAAGATTTTCTTGAAGGTTCTGTTTGGAGTTTTTCAGACTGGATCCTTCTCCTCGTGGTTCCTGCTTGAACAGAGACTAGAAATCATTTGCTGGTGTACTCCTCCTCATCCTCTGGTTATATTTGGTGTCTCCTGACTTCCTTTCCAACCCTGTTAATAATAAAATGCTAACAGGCTGCATCACACTTCCATATACCACATACAACTATAGGGAGTAAAATATGGCAAGCACTGAATTATTCAGTGGGTGAATAATACCACAAAGATATTCTATATCCCAGATACAAAGTTGTTAGCTGGGATGACGTATATGACGTCTGTCCTTGTTAAGTTCTCCCTGGGGACTGCTGCAGGAGCTGCCCAGCCCATCTTAAAGAAGGCACAAGCTGCTCTTTCATCCAGGTGAAAAATCTCCGATGTGTGGCCTTTTCCGATTATGTTAATCGTGCCTCCCACACATGAGAACCACACACGCTGCACAAAGTCTTTCACACATGGGCAGCAGTGAGGCAGCTGCTGTGCACAGGCCAGATGTCACAGCCAGCTCCTTCTGATTCCTGCCCTCCTGGTTAGCAGACACCGTCGCTCCACCCTCACAAAGAAGCGGCTGTGGGATTTAGTTCAAGTCATTTTGTGTCCACACTTGTCACCAGTTTTCCATCAGCAAAATCAACACCTGGCACACACACACACACACACACACACACACACACACACACACACACACAAATGTGTGGTAAGAAATTCAAAAGCAGGACCACTACTGTGTGAGCAGAGGCCTCTGGCTAAAGGAAACTCTGCTAGTAGCCATGTGTGGCTCACAGCTATTCTTTAAACCAGCTCTCTGGAGAGGCAGGCCTTACAAATGGCCTCAGCTTGGCATTGCGTCTTGTATTAAAAGAAAATTCAAGTGGTATGACTGGCTTATGCTTTCTAAATAAACTTTCTTTTTAGGAAAAGAAGAAAGTTGAGACTTGAAATTGGAATTATTCCAGAAAATTTTGGGGTATGTGGTCAAGGCACTGATTCTGTGACCAAGGGGATTCTTGGTCAAATGGCAGCACTCCAAAGGGACCTCGGGTGAGGGGGTAATGTTTGCTGGATAAAAAGCCTCTGAATTCCAAAAGGAAACAGACTCTAGCAGTGTCTCCACGCCTGAGGAGTCCCAGATGGTGGGGAAGGGAGGCTCTGATTATAAAGTGGAAGAGAGAAGAATAAAGAAAAAGGGAGATGAGAAAGAGAAGAAGAAAGAAATGTGGGCTGAGAAAGGAGACAGGAAACAAGAGAAAGGCAGGTGACTTCATATGAGGAGGGGGGAGAGGAGAAGGGAGGGGAGGGGAGCGGGAGGAGGAGAGGAACAGTACCGAGGACAGGGAAAGAGAAGATGCTGGCAGTTGGGAAGTGTAGGGACGGGTTCACAGCTTTGGAAAAGTAAAGACATGGTGACAGTGTCAGAAACCAAGTGGGCAGATGTTCTGAGGTAGGCAGGGAGGTCTGGGTAGGGTAGCATGCTACACACCATGGTCAGGCCTCAAGGGTCTGATGCCGGCCTCTTAGGACCACAGTTCTTCCTGTGTAAGCACAGAAGGAGGCATGCGCCCCCGGGATGCCATGGTATGGTAAGCGGTTAGTCTTTGGTTGTTAAGTATGGTATTTTGATGACTCCTTTGAGAATTTCATACATGGCGTATAATGTATTCGATCATATTCACTCTTTGTTTCTCCCAAGTCTTCTTCCTACCCACCGCCATCTCACTTCCCGCCCTTTTAAAATTTATCTCCCACTGGGTCTAAGGAGTGTTGCCATTATGCATGGGCATGAACCACCCACTGGAAAGTAGTAGACCGGTAGGGACCCCTCTCCTGAGGAAAACTGACACTCTCTCTCAGAGAAGTCATCGACTGCCAATAGCTGTTCTGCTAGAGGTGGGGCTCATGAGCCTTCTCCTCCCCATGTTGGGATGTTGACTGGCTTGACCATGTCCAGGTTTTTCTTGTGCAGGTCACCACAGCTGCTGTGAGCTCATGTGTACAGCAGTCCTGTAATGTCACAGAGACACCGTGTCACCCTGGTCTTCTCTGACCTCCGACCCTTACAATCCTTCCCCCCCACCCCCGTCTTCTTTAATGGTCGCTGAGGGGTGAGTGTGTGATAGCCCATCTGTGGCTAAGCACTCCGCAGACTCTTCTTCTCTGCACTCTGAAGAGATGTGAGTTTCTGCACTGACCACCATTCACTGCACAGAGAAGTTCTCCAAAGAGAGCTGAGAGCCGCCCTGCTCTATGGATATATACCTTGTTAGATTCAATGTTTAAGGTCAAGATTAACTCCAAAGAAAGCTCAGGCCTTTTTCTCAGGGAAGAAGATTTAACAGTTAGTTCATACTTAGAAACTGAAAAAAAAAATCAAAGTACCAAACAGCTTAATCATCCCCTGGAAACTGTTACTTGGCGGGTGCCTGCCATGCACAGCTCCAAACACAGAAAACATCCGGTCTCGTCCACACAATTCCTTGCAAAGAATGTGTTCACCTAAGAATATTCCACTTTTATGCATTCAGCAAACATTGTGGCATTCCTCCCATGCAGGCAGAAGGGCCCTCAGTTACTGACTTTTGCTTTAAATGTTGCAACAGATCAAGAGGAAATGAACAGGAGAAGATGAAATGAATGTCACAGCACTGTGCTGTCTTGAAAGAAGTGACTCTGTCCCAACCCTGGGAAACCTCTATATCCAGGCAGTGAACTTGAAGCATCAGGGAACCCCTGCTCAATACCCACTCCCTGATGCTGCCACGCCCTCCTCCACATACAAGCAGTTGCCAACTCAAGTCTGAAACCTCTGCTGTATAGACGCAGCTCTGGTTTCCACCTACGATTGGGGGCTGAAGCTCAGAGCTCCCATCCTACCCTACCCAGAAGACAAGACCAGTGTCTCCACAGTGTTGGGGGGAGGTCCTATCCATCATCCCTCATATCCATTCACCCCTCAAGTAAAGGGCACAGGAGGACCTCAAATACAAAGAGCTGTGTAAAAGAAGACCGAGGCGCTCCTCCCCTGAGTTAGCTCTAGGGACAGGCCATGGGGTAAGGACGGCAGAGTGTCCTCCAGGTGGGCTCCCCCTTCCCCCGCCAATCACCGGGGTCTGTACCTGGATCTGAAGTCACTGATGCTCTGCTCTGTTGAGCTGTCGCTGTCATTAAAGAGCCCAGTCCAATTGGCCTGCTGGTCGCCCCTCTGCCAACCAAACTGGAAGCCTCTGGCAAGAAAATGAGGCAATCGATATACACACTTACATGTTAGGTTAGGCCCGTCTAAGGGCTACATTCTGTCATTATAACCACGTGACACAATTCCTTGATTATACACCAGGAGGACAAGATGGTGATAATTCCAACCACGGGGATAATGGTGGCAAGCCGTGGCCCTCTGTGTCATCTTTACTCCCCTGCATCCTTCCCTCACTCCATCGTCTCCAGAGCAAAGCACACAGTTTACAGGCAGGGAAACTGAGGCTTACTGAGACTAAAGTCACAGGGCTCTTCTGCCTCCTTTCTGTGCCCTCCCTCAATTCCTGTTTCTAGAGACTTAACTGAAAAGAATTCCATCCTCAGTACTGTGCCAGACATAACTTCAAAGACTTTAATCCACCATACAAGGATCCCACTTCTGGTTTAAGAGGATGGACTTTACACATTTGTATCCACTCCCTCCCAAACCTGAGGATGGCGGCAGCAAAGCAATGAGCTAGAACATGAACATGGAGAGGAGGAAAGAGAAGGGACCAGAAACCATACTGGAAGACAGCAAGCAGATGAGCAACTGACTCGGGCCAGAGAGAACAGCATCCTGATAGGCTTCAAGAAGTGGATCCATTCTCAGGACATAACTCCAGAAGGATCAGGAATGCAGAGGGCCAGGGCATACAGGTGGGCATGCAAGATGGTACCCAAAGCTGGAAGACTGGGTTAAGTTCATAGAAGGAGCAGTTAAGTACCCTCCCCTACATGTGTGTACACACAAACTCTCACATACCAGGTCCCCTTCCCACATACCCCACAGACAGCAGTAGACCTGCTCCTCAGGAAGCTGGCTCATGGAGGGGTACTGTAACCAAAGCTGCCAGTGCCCAAGAGCCTGCCCTGGTGCTCTAGAACCCTCGTGGAGCACTGCCCAATCCGAACCTCTGGTGTGGTAAGGAGTGTGGGTCTCATGAGGGGAAACTGATCAGCTTCAAACATGGCTAGGAAGAAAAGGGGGCGCCCTCTTAAGTACCTTGGGGCAAGCTTCCTCCAGCTAGTACTGGGAACCCCTGGGGCTGGAGAACCCTCTGTTGTGGGACTGTCCTGTGCGGCAGAGGGTGTTGAATGATGTCCCCAAGTCTGTCAGCGGCATTTGGCCACCAACTCTCCTGTTATGATTATCAAAGCATCTCCAGATGTCAAATGGCTCCTGGGAGTAGAAATCACCCATACTGGAATGACTGCTATACAATCATGCATAGAATTTCCAAAACCCTCTAGTAACTGCCTGGCCCTTACATATGAGGAAACTAGTGACCACTTCTGGTGAAGAAAGTTTGAACTTCAAAGTCAGAACAGAACTAAGAAGGAAGGAAAAAGGGAACTCCAGGCAGGGGGAAGAAGAGAGAGAGATGGAAAAAAAACTGGGGAAACTAGTTAATAAAAGCATTCATAAGTAGCCTCTTAGCTAAGGAATGAGGACAGCAGACAGTTTTTGGAGCTGTTCCATTCACACCCCTCCAATTGGCTGATGCCCTCAGTCAATTCTCTGCACTTCTTCTGGTCTCTGTCCCCATATTTCAAATGAATAAACAGTCTAGGCTGTCTCTGGAGTCCTTGAGTGAAAGTGTCATGGAGACAAGCCATCTGCTCTTGTTACCAGTCATCTGGCTGAGGTCATGTTTGCTCTTCTCTGAATCACCAGAGACAAAGAATAGCATTTCAGAATTGGGAGGCCTGGGCCATTGAGCCCCAAAGGCTTAGGAGCCTGGGATGACAGATTCAGATGCTTGTAGCTCTTAAGCCCTGAGACTAGAGGCTTGTGGTTCCAGGTTGTAGCAGACAGCGGCTTACAGTTCTCGGTGTTCCAGTTGCTTGCTGATCTGGACTGTGACAAGCAACATCTAAGCACATGGCAAGTAGCATCTGTTGGGTTAGCAGCACCTGCAGTAAAAACACTCAGCACTCACCTAAGCCACAGTCCCCAAGGGTGCTGGAACCCTTGGCCCTCAACGGCACCTGTTAAGCTCTCAAGCCTTGTGTGTCAAGACCCTTGAGCCTTGGAAGTTCTCTGGAATCTTCCAGTAACTGGAACCCAGAGTTTGCTATAAAGCCTTCATAGCCATCTGCTTGCTTCTCCATCTTCTCTGTCTCTGAACCTTCCCCATCACTTGATACCTCGGCTCCCTGCAGGAACTGCTCCAGCTCACGCTTAAACTCTTCAGCTGCCTTCTTGCTTCAATCGCTACTGCCAAAGCTGCTGCTACAACTGCCATTGTTGCCATAGCCACGGCCACTGCCACCTGCTCCTCATGTTATCAATTCAGCCTGTGTACCCAGGACATAGACCACAAGCAAGCGAGAAAAGACCACTTAGGAGACGTCTTTTATTGGAACTAATGGTGCAACACAAGGAGGCAGAACAGAGAAGACTCCCACGCTGACTCAAAGTACAGGGCACAGCCCAGTCATGTTGCCACACTCAGAAGGGGCGAGGCATGCAAACATGGGATTGTATTTTGCACCAATAACAGCACACTTTCCAGTTTCCCCCAGACCAATCACAATCCTTCCTAAGAACTAGTCACAAGTCATGTATAAGTAGAGCTGGTATCTGCCAACCCCAGGCTTTGCGCTGAGTCACTGGGGGTAGGTATACTCTTCCTCATTCTACCTGTTGAAGGTAGGGCAGAACTCCCCAGCTGCTAGCTTGGTCATCTAGAGATCACTGAGGCCTGGAATGACCAGCAGGAAGTTTTGCCGGTACTGGCGTAGTCTGGAGTAGTTATAACTGGAACAAGTCTTCCTAAACAGCTGCAGCTGCCAGGCATGGTTGAAAGTGTTGCTTGTAGCAGGAGAGGAGTTTCTTCAAGGTGTCCATAAAGTAGTCAAAGCCACCAGGCTGCCATATGACAACCCAGTCGGTCACCTGGAGAAGAGCTTCTGAGCAGACTGCTCCCTGCTCAAGGTAACAGAGCATAAGGGAAGAGTCCATCAACTGTCAATCAAGGGGGATGAATGACTGGCTTCCCACAATTTTGCTCATTCACAAGGGGGAAAAAATAAAGCACACTCACAATAAAGACCTAGGAAATAAATACTATTTTCAATATAACAGTGCTGAACACCCAGCTATAAACCCTTAGGAAAAGCTGGGTCGCTTTGATCTGCTTACTCCAGTGCCTACCATCTCCCTCCTTGGGAATCCAGCTCACCTGCCACAAGCATGCTGACCCACCTTCTAGCCAATTCTGGTCTGAGTCCTCTTGGGACCCTACTAATGGATAGCTGCATACATGAAGTACTCTATTTATGCTTTGCTGAATGGCTGTTGCTGCGTTCACCCTGTCCAGTCTCCACAACCTGGAAGACAGGCAAATACAGTTCCTGAGGCCGAAGAATGCCCATCTAGCTGCCAGGCTATTTAGAAAAGAGCAGTAGTCCACTGTGGTACAACTCTACAGCTGTCCATCGATGTGTTTACTGAAGTGAGTATGCTTTGTTCTTTAAGAAATCAGTGAGGTATCTGTCAGCTTCTGGGTGTGGTTTGCTCAGGAGAGGGGCATTTGTTGAGCACTTAGGAGGAACAGGTAGTACACATGCAGAAAGTCTCATTATCTTCAGTTACAGATGAAAAACATGAATCTCAAAGAGATTTAGTCACATGTCCAAGAGCCTGAGGCTAAAAAGTGAGCAAGACCACTGCCCAGGGCCAACTTCAAACACTCTTATTTCTAAAAGCCCTTACCAAACTATCCATAGGCCAAGAAGACATTTCTACCTGAGATTTTGCCAACTAGCTGGTTGTGCTGGTTAATTTGTCAGCTTGACAGAAGCTAGGGTCACTTGGAAGAGGGAAGCACAGGTGAGGAAATACTTCATTAGAGTGCCCTGGCAGAGAATCCGTGGGGATTTTCTTGAGTAGTGGATTTGATGGGGGAGGTCCCAGACCACTGTGGGTGGTGCTATTTCTAGGCAGGTGGTCTTGGGTTATATCAGAAAGCAGGCTGCACAAGCCATGGACAGCAAGAGTCTTAGTTAGGGTCTCTATTGCTGGGATGAAATACCATGACCAGCAAATTGGGGGTGGGGGTGGGGAAGGGTTTATTTGGCTTATAGTTCCACATTGTTATCCATTACAGAAGGAAGTCAGGACAGGAACTCAAACAAGTCAGGAGCCTGGAGGCAGGAGCTGATGCAGAGGCCATGGAGGAGTGTGGCTTACTGGCTTGTTCCTCATGGCTTGCTCAACCAGCTTTCTAATAGAACCCAGGACCACCAACCCACAGATGGCACCACCCCCACCAACCACTAATTAAGAAAATGCCCTACAGCTGGATCTTATGGAGGCATTTTCTCAATTGAGGTCCCTCCTTTCAGATGGCTCTAGCTTGTATCAAGTTGACATAAAACTAGCCTGGACAATTGATCCCTTGTCAACTTGACCTACAAACATATCACTGTTAAAGTCATAACTTTTCATTTCTTGTTCATCCCTAAGATCACACATTAAAATCAACATCACAATATAAAACGTTTTACAAACTTAAAAAGTTCCACAGTCTCTACAAATTCAAACACTTTAAAATTCAGTCTATTTAAAAATGCAAAGTCTTTTTTAAAACCTAAAATCTATTTAAAAATTCAGTCCCTCAACTGTGGGCTCCTGTAAAATAAAAAAAAAAAAAAAATAAGTTAAAGACTTTCTTGCTTCAAGATGGAAGAACCAGAGCACAGTCACAATCTGAACAAAGTAAAACCAAACTCCAAAAGTGTAAGTAACTAAATGTCCAATTATCTGGGAGTCACTCATGATCCTCTGTGCTCCTCCAAGGGCCTCGGGTCACTTCTCCAGCTCTGCCCTCTACAGCACACACAGCTTGTTTCTGGGCTCTGGCTGGCTCCACTCAGGTCATTTCTCCAGCTCTGCCCTCTGCAGCACACACAGCTTGTTTTCTGGGCTCTGGCTGGCTCCACTCCAAAACAGCTGCTGTTCTTGGTGGTCATTCCATGGTAG